TTTTAGTCGTTGGCAATATTGGCAATGTCCACCTACTGGAGTTTGTCACCAACATTCGACTTCTGCTGTTCTTTCAAACTTATGCAGTCGTGACCCTAACCAGGACTGCCCAGCTATGAATCATTTGAGGCCTATTCTTCACGTTTTCCACGTTGTAAACATCGACATTCAACCTAACTTTAATTTGCCTCTTGAGATTTGCAATGGCTCAGTTAGCTCCACACAAATATCGCCTCTAACGCCATTTGCCATCAGTGATTCCTATCTACTTGATAATGAACTTGCCTTTTCAGATACAGCGTCTAATGAAACTCCAGGGTTTCTAACAGCTGGTGAAAATGCAGACAATGAGGACACCTTTCCTGTTCCTCATGGTACCCATTTACCAACTTCTTACCATCAATGTCATCGCCAACATCCCTCATGTGCTAAGAATGAGGATTCTTTAGTGTCCACACCACCCGATGATCCTAGCGCTTTGACGATCGGATACGGTTTATTAAACTGTCCGATTCCAAGCATATACTCATTGAATCCTCCCTTGTCTCAGCGTTTCAGCAAAATTGCACACACTAACTACCCTAACTCGCTCTATCAGGAGCGAAGTAGACTTCACCACCGTTGTTCTCGTGAAAAACGTTTAATTTGCTGCAAAGCAAAGACAAAACCGCGTTCTGGCCAAGCTATAACAACATCGTCAAGGTCCCCATGTTTTGAATTAAACCACATGATGCCGAACCGGCCTCGCGATCTACCTCCGGCGCCCTACTGCCTTTATGGCGAGACGGCACGTCTGCTTTACTCTAAAACCGCGAAGTCGGAGCTTGGAAAGAAGCCAATCTCCATTTCACTCTCAACTGGTCCTCCGGACAGCCGGTCCGCCCGACGTCTCCATCAACCGCATGTTTCACCGTCATGGATCCTGACTCAGAAGGCTCCATTAGGCCCTCGACTCACTCGTTCATTCCAGATTTATCAAATCGCTAGTCTATGGGCAGCAGCAGTGTCGAGACGAGACGTTCCTAGCAGCTTGTCGGCTGCTAGTGCCTCGGTTTCACGAATTCGGATGCCCACTGATCGCCGATTGATTGGTGTGCTTAAACGCTACCCTGGGGCCGTGGCCGAGATTTACATCTGGCCCGTGACTTCACTAGACAGAGCTTCACATCATACGGATACCAGTCTTACAGTCACTGGAAGTGGATATCGAGTGACTGGATCAACTTCCGGTTCCTTGTCTGGTTCCTGTGGTCAACGCCACATTCAAGCCTTGTCTAGACCTAAACCGGGCTTGCTCGTCCTCTGCACTATCAGCTGGAACCAGATGGTCTATTTAGTCAGGGATCTGGATCATTGCTATCCAGTTTGGAATTTGCAACGCCAATTATCTCGCTGATTACATCGCCCTTTCTGTTAATAATACTCTACTTTTCTTGATTACCCCCACGTTGTCCTCACCAATCATACGCTTTATATTTGGCCCCCTATTTTGTCTTTGCTGTCTTATAAGATAGAAATTGCCTTATTTATAATGGCCCTTTCACGTAAACCGGAATCTTTTCATTTGCCATTTCTAGTTTACAAAAGGATCGGTTGTTTTAATAATCAGATTATATGTTGACTGAAGGTTGTTGATTCTGCCACTGTTCGCGTTCGACTCATGGATTTATTGATGATATGAGCCTTGGTTTATTCATTTCCAAAGTGATCTCAAAACAGGCATATGCTTCGCCTAGAGTTAAGTTGAAACTGATACTATAGCAACATCATGTATAGTTCTTATATTTGCATGAACTCTATTTCTATTTAGACTGATGTGAAATCCTTATTTGATTTTTTACTTCGATATATATGTATATAGGTATATATTTCTCCTAAACCTGACCATAATGCAATTTATTTACCGCTTAGCTCATAATTCGAGCTTTATCAAGCTCTTAACATTCGACTCTCCTTCAGCCTAGAGGGTTGATTATTATTTATCACTAGTTTATATATTCTTTTGTGGAAGATTCATACTTGTACTTTCCCTATGTTCTCTTCTTTCCGATTCAAATCATCCATCTCTCTGTATCTTGATAGTCTCCGTTAGTTTCCTTTTCCTAAGGCTATTTCCGTAATCATTGCATTTCCTCACTGTCACAGACTTGCATATTTCCTGCCTAACCAAAGCTTATCTTACTTCTCTCTGATTAAAACCACATTTATTGTCCATATGTTTTTCCAATGCACGAACTGACGATTCAAAAAAATAATCTAATAAACATCAGCCAGAAGTAATTCAATTTTCTCCTTGTTGTCGGCGCGCTTGAGGGCAGTTTGGTTCTCTCTCCATATACAGTTATTATATTCCGCTTCTTGATTATTTATTTAGTAGTCTAGTCTTGTTTACAGGATGATATACAAATTACATGTTCCCTTATTCCTTTACTAAACTTATATGTATTAATACTATTCACATCTTTTTTCATAAAGCCTTTTGGGTATCTATCCCTTTTCAAAATTTTGCTAAATTTTCTTGATCATTCTCAGTATCCCTCATTGGCTCTTCTTAATCTGATTTCCAATGGGACATATGATATTTGGCTTTCTATCTTAAAATATTGCTTCGAAAAAATTTTTACATATATTTCTGATAGCCATGTTTTTCTAGATTCTTCTTTTCATTTGTTAAGATTATGTTTGAGAAGAGGGTTCTGATACTATTTACTAGCTAATATGTTGTGCTCCTTCTGGCTGCATAGATTAAAAATGACTTCAACTTTTTCCTAGCTCAGAGCTATACTTTGACAATCAGCATTACTACTATTTTTGGCTTTTATTCATCACTTTTCTTCCAGTCTATCCATATGCCCTAGCTATAAGTAGTAAATCATATATTTATTCATTCACGCTCCTGTTAAAATTAAGGTGCGTTTTCGTCATTTCAGATGAGACTAGCCTCTTACGGATTCTTATATTTCCAAATAAGTTCCATTTTTGATTTTATACAACTTAAAGACTATTATCGAAAGACATTAAAATTTATTAATAAATCTTGCTTCACAATGTATATATGCTTAGTCTTGTCCGAAAAATCATATTTTTGTGTGATCATATAAGTTATATAGTGTATTTTTATTTCTGTTCGCGAGTGACCGAAATATATCAAATAGACTTACACACGAATAAAATCTTTAGATGAATGCAAATTAGACTTATAAAGTATATGTAACTGATGAAATTGAGCAGAACAAGCTTTACATGCGTTAAATTGCGGGGTATGTGTAGAATCTCATTCCATTCTAAAGTGAAATTGAGTTTATCCTTACGAGACTGTTAGATATACAAATAGATAGGTGGGCGAAAAATTTTCGCTAACATTAAAAGGTTCGAATACTTACTTGGGTTGTAAGAATAAGGTAGGTAGTTTGAACTGTGCCAAGTCTTGCCCTTCCGTGCTTTTAATTACCTGACTAGAGGAACCAATTTTCATATCTTCAATGAAACTTTAAATGACTCTAGCCATATTTTCACTTTCCTCTGCGAAGTTGGCTTCAAGCATTTAAAAAGTTTGCTTTAAACCTACCTTATATCTCCTAAATATTTTCACACGATGATGTGTTTTTTACGCCCTTGTTTGCTGAGTAGGCTATAGTTGCCATTATACTTATGAAGTGTCCCTTAATTGGGTTTGGTATCCGAAATAGCTCAGCCTCTCTTAGTAATAAAAATGTTTAAAGAAAATATACTACTGAGGTTGATTTGTTTTTTATTAATTAGCATTCTATTTCCTTATTATAATTTTCGAAGGACTTTTATTGTTATGTTACCTCTGGCTTCTGGTATATAATCAATCTTTTTAGAATTTTATACATTAAAAAATTCTTATAGCTTTCTACATTCTCTATTTTATTTTTCATAGGCCCTTTTGGATGGAAAACGCGTGGTTACCATATACTGGCTGAACGACGTCTTAGAAAAAGGTCGTATGACTCCTCCAGATGAGATTATTCACCTACCTTCCCCATTCTCTCAGGAAATAACGTTTTCATTTCTCAGAGCACAGGTTAATTTTATATCTTATCACTTCTCGATCCTTATTTCTTGCTATCTATCCCTTATACCTTTTTAATTTATAGACCATTTCGGTATCCGGCTTTGAAGGACGAGAACGTGCTAAGGTCAAACTTCTAATTCTCCAATTGGGGGCAAAATTTGATGATTATCTTGAACCTACCGATACACTTCTGGTTTGCAAGAGGTAATGTCCTGAATATTTCGTCTGATTTTCATTCCCTCATATTGCTCTATCTTTAATTTGATCCTCTTTTATTGCTTCTAATTTTTAGGCCTGAGGGCAAGAAGTATGAAATGGCCCTCGTATGGGATATTCCTTGCGTCAACGTGCGTTGGCTTCAAGATATTTATTTGGGGGATCTTCAAACCCTCTCATTAGATCTTTCTCACCGTTATCTATCGTTCGAGCCAGTAGACGTCACACTAACTTTGGACAAGTGCTCTCCTCGAGTGCAGGACTTAATGTGTAAGTGATAACTATTCAATATCTGCCTGTCCTTGTTTTTCACATTCTAAACCCTTCTTTGTATTTCAGCTGGATGGCAGAAGCCGATTGTACTAAACCAGGATTCCTGGACGGTAAATTTACTTTTGCTCGATCTAGTATTTGAGCCTTTCTTTATAGATAAACTTTTTTTCACTGTATCTCTGTTTGATTATCTCTTTTTTTTAAACTAGCGTCGAGAGAAACTTCGTCAAGAGTTCGAGGCTGAAGAATTGGAGAGAAAACGAAA